GTCGTTGATATCTGGCTTGCTTCGTACCATCCATTCTATGCTTTCATCACATACAAAAGAGACGAAGATGCAGAGGAAGCAATCAGAAAAATGAACGATTCGTAAGTTTCTGTATAACTTGACATTCCTATCGGAATTGTAAACTGCTTATTTTTTTCAGTTACATCCGTCGTCAACGTATTCGGGTTGCTCATGCATTACCCCGTCGCGAACGCTTTGGATTCCGCAATAACTTCGGTGGTAGCTACGGCGGCGGTGGAGGAGGTTACGGAGGATCATATTCAAGACGGTGAGTGGTTCTATCATCTATTACATTTTAGCTTAACTCGGTAGATTTCCGAGAAAGCCTTGGCTAAGTTTATCTTATTGAAAAGATTTAGGTAATGATGTAACACATGGTTAAACTACCTATAGATGAGTCACTATCGCATGATGTTGTGAATGTATAATTCAGAACTTGGGGTAATAAAATAATTATATATTGTTTGTACTAGAGGAGGTTACCAAATATGCGCAAGCTGTGAGGCTTCCAATGAAGCATTTGTATTCAAATCAATTGATGTAGATGTTGCATTTCTAACTTTCACAAGTCCCAGTATAATCTTGCATGCTACATTTAATGCTTCTGCCCTTGCATGCGCACCTTCTTTTAGGGCATCTCCATCCTTCATAAGGATCGGCCGACCCTTACAACGCTTATATGCGCAATAAGAATCGGCCGATCGAGGGTGCGCGGCGATTGCGTTGCGGTCCGTGTTGAGTGTCGATCTGGCGCGATTCGCCTCTATCCCAGCCTTTCCACACTTTTTTCATCCCATTTGACTAGCTTTCTTTCTTCAGTTTATGTTAGAGTTCTCAGAAGTCGCCAGCAAGTGTGCCGGAGAGATGAGGACGGAACCCCAGGCAAAATGGTATTTGACTGCGGCGCAGCAACACAACCTTCGATTGGCCGATTCTTATTGCGTTTATAAGCGTGATAAGGGTCAGCCGATCCTTATGAAGTATGGAGATACCCTTAGTTTTGTTCTTGTCTACGCACGGACTTTCAACTAATCCAAGGAGTCCTATCGACAATATTGCGGCGCGAAAATGAATTACAATTCCATATGTTGCTCAAATGTGGAGCTTACTGAAGGCCAGTATTTCATTGAATTGGGGAATGTAGCATTGTGTGCTTATCGGAGATGAGACTTGTCAAAAGTGGTGGAGTGGTATCCAAATAAAATAACGAGCACATATCTCGATAGAAAGTAGCTTGGCTGGCATGATCTCTTCTGTCATTCAGGTATCTGGAAGTCTAGCCTGATTTATGTATGTTGTCGAGTCCAGGTTTTTTCTAGTGTCATTCCACTTTCCTTGATCCAAAAGAAATTCTATATCTTCCCAAAGGCAGTGTCCGTGCAAATTCAAGGACTTTGAGTTCTCGTCAATAATGATGGCCGACTTTTCAATCATGCTATTTCTCAAATTCAGAAACGCGCCGTGGTAAGCGAGAAAATTGCTATGACGTTTAGGTGAGCCCGTCTCTTTTAGGTTAGCCGCCCAATCTATGATTTCCTTCCCAGCACCGGCCGTGCTTAGCTCCTCCTAAGGGCACTGCTTTTGCGAGAAAAGCATGCGATCGTTTCGCGACAAGAAGTTGCAAATTTGAAGTCGCCCCTCTGTTTTTTTCTTTATTATTATGGCAATTGTGGTGCTATCCGCGTTCAGCTCATCGAAATGGTTCAGAACTGGAAAGCTGGAGTCTTCCGCCCGGGCACTACTTTTAAACTCTGCATAGAGGATATCAGATACGATCACAAATAATATACGTTCCACATGGTCCGTCATTTAGTGAAGATATAGGCGCAGGTAGGAGGTTGAAATCGCGGACCTGTTCAAAAAATTGTTTTTTACATCTCACATTGTCATAAAGCACGAAATCCCTACGGCATGCATATGTTATCATGATCCATCTGAGATAACCTTCTGTATAAAAATTTGCGAAGCCAATATTGAGGTTTTGGGTCAAGGGAAGTGGAAGGCGCCCGTGTTTTGTTTCGATACACTCCATTGCATACACCAGGCGGCGAAATTGTGTTTTCTTACTTTAGCTATGGCAGATGCTTAGGACTCGGTTTCTGTGCGTGAGACTTATTATCCGTAAGTAATGTTGCCTTGTGAGAACACTAATAGAATGCTCTAAAATTCATCCCAGATAACTCAGCGTGTTACCTACATCATATATTTCATTCTCTTTTATATTTTGCGACTTCATGTTAGCACGGATGTTTCAAATAATGTTTAAGTCATGGCGTGTCTGGATAAAATGGTGCACATAAAAAATGCTGCATGCATAGTTAAGCATGAAACTGCACGGCGTGTATCGTTGTGAATTTCACTTCTGAATATCGCGCGGCAAATTTATGCAGCTCTAAAAACTGAAAAAGCAGCAGACAGATGCCCCAGCAGTTGCAAGGATTCTACGAAAGTGGTGGTTTCTTTCTAATCCACCAACCTATTAGACCACCTCC